TGGCTGTTCGAGTCAGCCGGAAGAAAAGGGTGTGTATCCTCCACTTCGTTCGAGGATTAGTGGATGGTAGGCGCGGTCCTTCTAACGACCGAACGGAACGCGATATATATATATATATAGGACACGCGACGTTTGAATGAGAAAAAATTACCTTAGGATGAAGCGCTTTTAACTTCCAACCGGAAGTCGTAGACTCGAGGAAGCCAAGAAGATTCACTCGAATAGAGGTCTTAACGGGATCTATGCCCGTCTAAATAAAATAGATTGAATAGTTAGATTAAGATCTAAATATAGAGTTTCGATTCTTTTTTTTTTTTTTTTTAAATTCGTAATAAAGAAATGTGGGTATTTAAGGAATCAGAGGGAGAGAAATGCTTCGATAACGAAGTATTCATTTCGAACGAGGAAATTTAAGTTGATAATACACGGTGAGCGATATTCTATTTAATTCCTCGGAAGAGGTGAAGATATCTTCGATATCCGGATACTAAAAAAAAAGAGTTTAAGAAAGGGAGCTCGGTTTGGTCCGTTGAAACGTTTTATCGGTAACGATAAAAAAACGTGAAAAAGGTTCGTTGTCCGCTTTCGTTCTTATTTCGATTTCGCTCCAGGTGCCCCCACGGATTCGTGTTCCTCTTCTGGAAAAGGAAAATGGCAGATATTTCTTTGACGTAACGAGTAGTTTACGCGAACTGACGTTAGATCTCGTAGCGGAATCGCGGTGAAATATTGTTGTTGGCAAAGTTTCTCACCTCTACGTCTCATTTCCCGTAATATTTCTCCGACCGAAAGTTCACCGTTCATCGAGTTTCTGCAATTTCTAACCTGCCTCTGCTGGTAAATACCGCGTGAAACTGGTACGTATTGTTATTGCAGGGACAGTTTTCGAACAATTTTTCGATTCGAGATAAGACATCGAGCGAGAATATCGATCCTTCGAAAACCGTGGTCCGATTGGTTGGTTTCGTTCGATTGGTCGAAGCTATTTGCCCAACGAAGAATCGGAATATGGCGTCACGAGAGTATTATCGCGGCGATTGTGCGTGTACATATAGTAAATCAACGACAAAAGCTGACTAAGGCGTACGAGGAAAAGTCACGTTTCGATTTCGATAATGGAAATTGCTTTCGATCGATTCACCATGCCAGCCAACACCGTTGAGTCAATAGCGAAGATCCACGAAATTGGAAATATCGTCTAGAACGTTCCTTTTAAAATATTCTTTTCGCGAATTGTTGTCTGGTTTGAACGAATCCATTTTTCCGAGGGCAAGAACGTGATGAAATGTGAACCGTGACAGGACAGAATAAAGGACCGAGACGTCGGACTGTCTTATAAAAATACGAAAAACGATCGATATTATAAAAATCTCGCTTCTATTCGTCCAAGTTATTTGAATTTTTGAAAAATCTTCTTTAATTTAATCAAACTATGTTATTTACATCCAATTCAATTAATGAATAATTGTAGAAACTCGATATTTCGGTATGTCAGATAAAACAATCGTTCGGAATAAATTGATTATATTTTTAAAGAAATTCATAATTTTAAAACGAAAAGCGTTCGAATAATTAGCCTTTTGTTTTTGAAATGATCTTTAATAATTTCGAATTGACGTCAAGTTTCTTAAATTGAAATAATCGACTAACCGAAACCGAAGATTACGATTCAAGGGATGAATCGAAATGGGCGAACGATGCGACATTATTCTCTTCGATATCAAACGATATTATTCGGTTCCATTCGGATTGTTTCGGAATGACTCGGACTCGGTTGAATCGAGTAACTACTCGGTCGATAAACGAATCGATCGTGCGTCGCACGAGCGATACGTCCGTGTTCGCAAAGTGATCCGCGATGGAACCGAATGAAACGGTTATCGACGTCGAGCTAAAACTAGCCGTCACGACAATGGAGGCTCTTTGATACATTTGTTCGCCTTTGAACGCGTTCGATATCGTTCAATAGGGTGCGTCTGCGCGCGCCTTACGCACGATAATCCACGATACGACCTCGCGAAACACCAGATAATTATAGCAGCTTCGCGATATGGAAATCACTCTGCGAGCGCGGTTGAATCGAACCGTTACGATCGATCGAATTGTTCTCGCGTATAGTTCGCTCGCGATTCTATCGAAAGTTCTATCGAAAGAATTAGTTCGGAAAGAAACGGACAGAAAGAAGGTGAAAACTTGCAAACGACGTCGTTGAATGGCCGTTTCTTTCGGCAACAGGTGTCCCGTTTTTCTCAATTCCCGATTGGGCTGCACATTTTTGGCCGCGAGTTCAATATCGCGATGTCGTTTTTTGTTATCATTGCGTCGTTCGTAAAGCTTTGTCTGGGAAATCTATCGTTATTTTTTTTCTCTCTCTCTATCGTTTCATCTATCTATCCGTTTAACGATTGACAACCTGTCGAGAGAGCGTCATCCGATTTTACGAAATAATTTTGAAAATCGTGTAATTGATTTTTTCTTTTCTCTTTCGAATAATTGGAAAACAAAAGTAGCAACAAATATTTGTTTATTTATGAGCAAAACTCCATGACATCGAAAGCAAATATAAAAAAATGAAAAAAAGGACGGATCAAATTTACAAACAAGTTGCTAGGTAATCGAGTAATCAATCATTCGATTTAAAATTTTGAACAAACAGTTTCGAATTAATATCGTCGCCGAGTTGTTTCGACGTTATATCGAGCACGTTTCTTTTTCCTCCATCCCTGTCGATGCAAAAAAAAAAAAAAAAAAAAAAACAAGCACAGATACGCGCGTCGCATTTTTCCAAAAGCCTCGTCCTATGTATTTTACGTTTTCGTTTCCATTCGTGTTTCGCCTCGAAAACGAATAGGGTCGCGTCGAGACCGCGTTTGGTTAATGAAAATTTAATCGACAAGCACGATGATCGGTAGTACACTGCGTTAATCTAGAAAATGAAATCATCGACAGACTATAGCGTGTACCGCGCTTCGGTAATTATCCTAATAGAAAATGCATTCGCGGTAGAACCGGTTGTCGAACTTCGGGTCCATCCCGAATAACGACGATCTTTGCCGAACAATCGGTGGTATTTTTTACCGTGGATAAAACGGAAGAAAAGGTGGTCGGCGAGATAATCGTCGAAAGTCGTCGGATCGATTCGAAGCAATTAAACTTCCTTGCTTGATTTCGTTTCGATACGTTCCACCACCAGGAAAATCAGGGAACTGGAAAATTGAAAAATCTCGGTGATCGATGACAAACTCTGGTCATTCCTTCTCTCTCTCTCTCTCTCTCTCTCTCTAACTTCTCTAACTCTCTCGTTCTCTTTTCTTCGCAGTAAGCGTATAATGGTTCGTTTTTATTAACGATGTTAACTGGAGCCAACAGTTTTCTCAATTAGTTGGAGCGGGAAAACGGTTATACTATCCAAGATCGTAGATTGCATCGGGCATCGACGTCCTCGTTCCTCTCGGTTATCGCGACATTCGAAAGACGCGACCGATTACGTGCTTCGAGCGTACGATGGAAGCGGACTGGTAATTGAATCAAGTACTTACATTATAACGTGCAAAATCAGGAGGCGTTGAAACGATGCGATTTCGAGTCGACTCGAAAACGGTCTTGACGGATCCTCGTCCTCCTTAAACAACGCTCGCTTGATAATCGTTCGTTACGAAGGAAACGTTATGATTTTACAAACTGTGGTGCGTCATGGATCGATAATTAATCGAACCACGGAAAGTGCGGGCCGCGAACTCGATCGAAATCTAGGTTAGCGCGTAGAGGAAAAGGGTTATCGAGACAGGTTAGCACGATGCTTATAAAGTATCGCGACCCATTACATTATCCTCGTTAATTAAAATTTTTTATCTAGCGTTTCGAAAACGTATATGAAAAGTTTTCTTTTTTTTTTTTTTTCCGGTTGATATCCTTGAACGGTTTTAAATACTTGATTTTAATTCTTTTAAAAGCACGTAAAGAACGTGCTTTTAATTTTACTTGAAAATTGAATTAAAATTTTGAAACTTGAAACTTGGTTCAATATATAATGGTAAAAAATAAAAAAAAGTATAGAGCCACTTTAATCGAGGTCAAACTTCGATCTATGCTAAAGTTGTATGTAATATGTATGAAATTTTACTTCTCTTTCTATCTCTTTTTTTATTTTTCATTTTTTTATTTTTTCCTACTAACAGATTGAAAAATAAAACTTTATTTCATATCGTGGATCGTGCAATTTCGATAAATGATTTTCGATATCTCTTGGAATCTGTTTGCTCGGATTCGAAAATCTGTTGGGCCGTGAAATCAAAGGCTTGGAAACGAAAAATTGGGAGGAAAATGCTTTATCAGATTCTCGCAGAATCCATTATTTGCCTTCGTTCGGTTTTCGCTTTTATCAACGACAATTCGAAAAGGATTTTGATCGTAAATCCCTTTTCGATGGCTTTGACGCAAAGTATTTAACGTGATTTCACGAAAGTGGTAGCGATAAAGTCGTGTTCCTCGCGTTTGCGAAACTCTTGAGCACGCGAAAGGTGCGAGAAACAAAAGCGAAGAAAACAGAAAAAAAAAAATAAAATAAAATATAAAAAAGAAAAAAAGGAGAGAATTGCAAGATAGATATGATAAAGGAACTGCAAGTTGAAATAATTATTAGACAATTTTTAGGCAAGGCACGATTCAGTTTTCATGCCCAGTTTTCCCTCCATTATTTATTTCTCTCCCTTTATACCTGATGGCCGAAGTGGCGCGTGTTATCGCGTTTAAAATCGAAAGCTTTTACGAGTGCCGTGTTTCCAGTCTTCTGCTGCAACGGGAGGGAGAGGGCGGGGGGAAGGGAAGAGCGCGCGCGCGCGCGCACACACACACACATACATCAGCCTCGCAACAGTCGAAATAACGCATTGTTCGCGATTCTCGCGAGAGAGGAATTCTTCTCCGCGCGTGTCTAATCCATGGTGAAGAGAGATTCGAACGAATTTTCTATTTACCCGTTTCCCTGTTGCATGTTTCAGCCGACGCGACCAGATTGAGGCATTCGAGACACCTGGATTTAAGATCGCAGTTCTCCAACGACGAGGAATTTGCGGTGAGTGCATTTCGATTACTCCGCTTCATTCGATTTATCATCTCTTGACTCTTCTTTTTTTTTCTCCCTTTTATCTCTCAATAAAAAAAGAGAGAAAGGAAAGAGAAGAAAATCACCGTATTCGTTCGTTGCTCTCCCACAGATGCAGCAAGATGAAAATCACAATCACAAGCCTGTGTTCTCGAATTGTTCGAATTACGCGCCGGTGGTGAAGGAGGAGGAACCGGTGGGCACAGTTGTGATTCAAGTACACGCCAAGGACAGGGACAATCCGGACAACGGAGGTTTTCAATCATTTATTATATATTTTATTTATTATAAATAGAAAGAAAAGGAAAAGGAAAAATCGAATAAAGTATAAAGAAGCGCGTGTTAACCTTTTGTCCTACAACAACGAGTGAGACTCGTGGTGTACTTCGCTCGAACCAAACGTAAACAACACAAGCCTGAGCTCGTGTACTTCATTAGAACCAAATGTAAACAATACGAGCCTAGCTCGACGCGTGACCGACCTTCTCTTCGTTTATTGTGGCCCGAGAAATCGGGAGTTAGCGTTAGGTTAAAAAGGACAAAGGATTAATATTATGCGCTCTTTTCTCGCAGGTACCATCACTTACAGTTTCGTGACGGCACCGGGTGAGAAGCTCAAGTTCGAGATCAACAATAGAACCGGATTGATCAGGACGACGCAGGTGTTGGACAGGGATGAACCAGCTCGTGAAAAAGAGGCCTACCTGACCGTTCTCGCGACCGACAATGGAAGACCGCAACTCGACGATGTGTGCACGTTCAAAGTCACCATCGAGGACGTAAACGACAATTCCCCTGTTTTTGACAAAGTGGTACGTGCCTACCCACGTACGCGTCTACCTCGTTTACAAGAGAACAAATGTAATTTAATTCGAGCCCTCTTATGGGTCACTCGATTCGTCCATATTCGTCATTGATATTATACATCTTTATCGTCACCATTTGTCGTGGCCATTTTTCACCCCTACATACGAAAATTATCGTGTCTTTTTTTCATACATATATATATATACGTTTCAAGGACCAATCGAATCTCCCGTAACTTCATTGTATTTTTTTATTCCATCAATTAACGCAGCAGCGTATCTTCTCTCTTATGCTTTATACGATACGATTGTGCTACACTAACCACCTCTTGCTTCGATTTCTTTCTTTTTCTTTTTTTTTTCTCAAACCCAGGTCTTTCGTGGATACGTATGGAAGGTTGGTCTTGAATTTTCCCGGTGTATACATGTATACTTCGATGTTTTTCTTTTCTTTTCCATTTTATATTATCGTTATATTTCTTCTTCTTTCTTTTCCTTTTTTTTTTTTTTCCTTTTTTTCTTGGGAATGCGAATGAGTACTATTTTTTTTGTTACGCAGTGGATTAACGCTTGAGCGTTCGAACGGTTAAGATCGATTCGAACAACTTGACATGATCTTAACCCGTCCGTATCGCGGCTTGTTTCATCGAGTTTAATTTTTTTCATCTCTGGACGCATGCACACGTATATTAGAGAGTTTGCTTAGAGAGAAAAGAGGATGATGGGAAGAGAGGTAGATAAATCGACGATCGAATTTTAAGGGGGCTCGAATTCGAAGTGCGATTATTTGTTTTCGGTGTTCGTCCTCGAACGTAGGCGTACACCGAATCAGTTCCGCAAGACTTGCCCCTTGGCCGGGAAGTTATGAGGGTATCCGCCACGGACATCGACGATGGCAACAACTCCGTCGTGTACTACAGCTTGTCGCCTAAGAGGCCCGAGGACGGTGTATACTTTCGAATAGATCGCAACACGGGTGTGATATTTCTCAACAAAACCATCGACGTGAGTGAAAAGGGTTTTGAACATTCGTTCAAAGCGAAGAATTATTCTCGATGCGACGAACGAAATTGGTTGATCGAGATTTTCTTTCAATCTTTACAGAAAGTTCCGGATTACAAGTTCAGCATGACAGCGACGGCCCAGGACCAGGGAGAGAATCCAAAGTCGAACGTGATCGATCTGGATATTCGAGTGGTCGAGTCCCACAAGAAAGCCCCGGTATTTTTGCCAAGGCCTGCCGAGCCGATTCGATTGCAGGAAAATTTCAGCGACTTCGACGCGAGTATCGTGCAATTAAAGGCTGTATTGAACAACGGAGATAAACTTTTGTTCGAGCTGGTTCCAGGTACAACGGAACAAACCAATAAAGGGAATACTTTCAGGTAAATCGAACTTTCCAACACCGAGTTTTCTCTCTCTCTCTCTCT